ACTCCATTCAATTAGGCATTTAATCATTCTAAAATACCACGAGGTAGTTTAAAGGTGGTTTAAAATAGTTTCACTTATTTATCTTTCTCTAGGAGGGGTGTTGCTGCTTTTTTGTATTTTTATAAAGGTTTATGTGTGTGGTACTTTTCACAGGTGTTGGATCAGGGGTCTGGTCCAGGACCCCTGGGGAGTGCAGTAAGTTTGGGTCACATCCATATTGATAAATAAATCCATAAAGAGGGTGAACTCCCATGAATATGGGAGTTCAAAAGAGGGAATGTTGGATTTAATATTTTATACCTTTTTATAATTCCTATCAAGCACTCAAATGTCAGGTCATATAAAGTGTGTGCGTGTCTTTCTTCCAAGGTTGAACTATGTGTATAGAAAATGTTTGCTAATTCTAACTAGTTGACCTTTAAATATAATCTCATAGTAGCTAAAGATAATTTTACAAGTTCACATTTGATAAATTACAAGCAATCAAATCAGGCCAGAGAGCAGACTGATTAACATAAATAAAGCTAGAACAGCTCTTTAATTTAGACAGTATAGTTTGACTAAGTAAAATCAAATTAAGAGTATAACCATGATCCAAATAAAAACACGAACATAAGTTAGATAATATAATTATTCCTAGAAATAAACAACTATTTCAAATCAGTGTTATCACTAAGGTATAATCACGTTAAACAAACAGTGTTAACGGTTTTAAACGCAGACACAGAAACTAAGATGAATCTGCCTTAAAAACAGAATCACCAGACCTCCAACAGATATTGAAGTAACACCCAGGAGGTAGGTAATAATTAATAGTTATTAATTATTACGCATAAACAATTTAGACACGAATCATTTTATATCCCTAAAGTATAATAGCAAGTTAAACTTTAAACAAAAGCCGAACCAAAACTTATCTGAAATATAGACGTAACGTCCTTGAGGGGGCGGGCTACGTCGTAACCATAGCGACAGAAGCTGAACCAATCAGGAAGCTAGCCTTCTCAAACGGGGATAAAAGGCCGGGAATGACGCACGCGCACTGAGCATTTTCAGAGAGGCACGCACGAGGCGGTTTGTTCTTAATGCTCCATTTATATCACATATATCTTATTAATGTAACTGTTTGTCTCTGAATATCTGTAACCCATGTTGTGTCAAATAAATCTTTTATACGAAGGGCGACGCCTCCGCCGTTTTGAACACGACGTGGTATTCTATCCACAACAAGCGTCATCTGATTTGTGGCCGTTTGTTTTGGACACTCGGGTGAAGAGAGGAGCCGAGTTGTCAACTGATCACCACCTAGTAGTGAGTTGGATCAGATGGTGGAGGAAGAGGCCGGAAAGTCCCGGTAGACCCAAACGTGTAGTGAGGGTTTGCTGGAAATGCCTGGCTGAAGAACCTGTCAGAGAGATCTTCATTTCACACCTCCGGGAGAGTTTTAACCACATCCCAGCTGAAGTGGGGGACATAGAGTCCGAGTGGGCCATGTTCAGCGCCTCGCTTGTTGAGGTAGCTGCCTTGAGCTGTGGCCGCAAGGTTGTCGTTGCTTCTCATGGTGGCCATCCACAAACTCGGTGGTGGACACCCCGGGTTAGGGAGGCTGTCCAGCTGAAGAAGGAGTCCTATCGGGCCTTGTTGGCCAGTGGGACTCTGGAAGCAGCTGAGGAGTACTGGAGGGCCAAACGATGTGCAGCCTTGGCTGTTGCTGAGGCAAAAGCTTGAATGTGGGAGTTCGGTGAGACCTTGGATACAGCTTCTCGGTCGTCTCCAAGGAGATTCTGGCAAACCATCAGGCGGCTGAGGAGGTGAAGGCAGCACTTTACCAACACTGTGTTCAGTGAAGGTGGGGTACTATTGACCTCAACCAGTGATGTCGTCGGGAGGTGGAAGGAATACTTCTCGGAACTTCTCAATCTTACCAGCACGTCTTCCATGGAAGAAGCTGAGTCAGGGGACTTTGGGGTTGATCCGTCCATAACAGTGGCTGAGGTCGCCAAGATAGTTAAAAAACTCCAAGGCGGCAGGGCTTCAGGAGTGGATGAGAGTCTCTCTGGTTTTCTTAAGGCTCTGGATGTTGTGGGGCTGTCTTGGCTGGCACACCTTTGCAACATAGCATGGACATCGGGGCAGTGCCACTGGAGGCAGACTGGGGTGGTGGTTCCCCTCTTCAAAAAGGGGGACTGGAAGGTGTGCTCCAATTATAGGGTTATAGGGGCATCACTCTACTTAGCCTCCCTGGTAAGGTCTATTTGGGGTACTAGAGAAGCGAGTCCGATCATTGGTCGAACCTCAGACCCAGGAGGAACAATGTGGGGTCTGTCCTGGCTGTGGAACACTAGATCAGCTCTTTACCCTCACTAGGGTCCTTGAGGGGTCATGGGAGTTTTCCCATCCAGTCTACATGTGTTTTGTGGACTTGGAGAAGGCATTTGACGGTGTTCCTTGGAGTACACTGTGGGGGGTGCTCCAAGAGTATGGGATTGGAGGCCCGTTGTTACGGGCTGTTCAGTCCCTATAGAAGCGGTGCGAGAGTTTGGTTCGCATTGTCGGCAGCAAGTCGGACCCCTTCAGGGTGGGAGTTGGACTCCACCAGGGCTGCCCGTTGTCACCAATTCTGTTCAAACCTCTTATGGACAGAATTTCTCTGTGCAGCCAGCTGGTGGAAGGTTTCCGGTTTGGTGGCCTCAGGATTCCATCTCTGCTCTTCGCAGATGATGTAGTTCTGTTGGCGTCATCGTGCCATCTTCAGCTCTCACTGGAGCAGTTCGCAGCTGAGTGTGAAGCAGCTAGGATGAGAATCAGCACCTCCAAATCTGAGGCCATGGTCTTCAACCAGAAAAGGTGGATTGCTCTCTTCAGGTCGAGGGTGAAGTTCTGCCTCAAGTGGAGGAGTTCAAGTATCTCGAGGTTTTGTTCAAAAGTGAGGGAAGAATGTAGCGTGAGATTGACAGACGGATTGGTGTAGCATCTGCAGCATCTGCAGTATTGCGGACTCTGTATCGGTCCGTTGTGAAGAAAGAGCTGAGCTGTAGGCAAAGCTCTTTGTTTACCGGTCGGTCTATGTTCCTACCCTCACCTATGGTCATGAGCTCTGGGTAGTGATCGAAAGAATGAGATCTTGGACACAGGCGGTTGAAATGAGTTTTTTCCACAGGGTAGCTGGATTCTCTTAAAGATAGGGTGAGAAGTTCAATTATCCAAGAGAGACTCGGAGTAGAACTGCTACTCCTCCACGTCAAGAGGAGCCAGTTGAGGTGGTTTGGACATCTGATAAGGATGCCCAGAGAGCATCCTTCGGGTATGTCCAACTGTCCAACTGGGAGGAGACCCCAGGGAAGACCCAGGACACGCTGGAGAAACTATGTCTCTCAGCTGGCCTGGGAACGCCTCGGAATCCTTCCAGAAGAGTTGGGTGGCTGTGGAAAGATATGTCTGGGCCTCCCTGCTTAGGCTGCTGCCCCCGCGATCCGACTTCAGAATAAGCGGAAGATAATGGATGGATGGATGGATATCTGTTTGTTTGTTTTTATGGTTGCTTTTGTATGTTTTTATCAGTGCACAGAAATTTGGTAAATGGTAAATGGACTGTACTTACAGTATATAACACATTTCTATCTTATCGAGATACTCAAAGCGCTTTACACTGCAATCTGTGTCTTCATTTACCCATTCATACAGCACTCTGCTAGATCTCTAGAAAAATATTTGAACAAATCATTCTAAAGAGACTAATCAGGGTTTTATCACATTCGTACACCAATGGGACACACATCGGAGGCAATGAGGGGTTCAGTGTCTTGCCCAGGGACACTTCGGTATGTGAATGCTGGTGGATTCGAACCCCCAACTCTTGCATTGGAGGACGATTGCTCTTACCACTCAGCCAAAGCTGCCCATCTGGCCATCTTTGCTGTTTGTAAAGTGCATTTTAAATAAACTTGTATTTCTTTTTTTTTTTTTTTTGATGGCCTCCCTTCTCCCCTTACAGCCATCCTTTCCACACCATTATTATGAAATTTTTTTTATTGTTACTATCTAGTTTAGTTTTTTTTTTTTTTTTTTTTTTTTTTTTTAATAAACTTGTATTTCTAATAAATAAGCATTCAGCCGCTCAACACGTTTTCCCTTATGTTCTTTGTACTTTCACTTGAAACTCAGCTCATCTACCAGAGGCCTGTCTTGAAGGTTCTGCACATTAGCTGTTCTTGGGACTGTGTTCCTCTGGACGGAGACCTCAGATTGTTCCTGGGATCTGTTGGAGCCCTGTTCCCAGTTTGAAGGTCTCGGATTCAAATCCTGTTGCAGTCAACTTCCAAGCAACCTCAGTGCATAATGTGCAAGAGACAGACATAACCAAACTACCAACACTCTGATTTGTAGCTGACCACTCAGTCCCTTCTGTAGCAAACAGTCCTAACCTCTTTAACTCATTTCCACTAGGGACACTACTTGTATGTCCTGATGCATGCTCAATAATCCAGGTAGAAAAATCTAAAAAAGTTAAATCTGGTCCTCTGGACATTCAAAAAAACCCAAAACAAAGCAAAAACAACAAAAAATGTAGAAACGTTTACAAACTCTTACAATGCTGTGATTGCTAGTATCACTCAGCCCTCTGTGAATAGTAAACAGCCATCAGTGTGCTAATGATCCATTGTTAGGCTGATGGTCCTTCTTGAGCATGTGATCAGCTGGTTTTGGTTGTCAGCAGCAAAACTGGTTGATCCACTCTGAGAAGGTGCTATTTAAGAGACTGAGCTGAAAACAGCACCTCAGACTGAAGAAGTCTCTCGGACGAGAGACGAAACGTTTCTACATTTTTTGTTGTTTTGCTTTGTTTTGGGTTTTTTTGAATGTCCAGAGGACCAGATTTAACTTTTTTAGACTACTTGTATGGTTCTACTTTAACACACATCAGGTATTTCTTTGTAGTCAGAGACAAAGGAGGGCTTGCCGTAAATTTGGACTCTACCATGCAGTCTGCAAGAACTCACCTGGAGTCGGATCTCTCTGTAGTTCCTTGTTATGTTGACAAAGTGTGGCTGTCCATTAGCCATGTTACGATGGTCAACATCTATGGTATAAGGTTCTGTTAGTCCTCCGAGGCTGTAGCGGATCTGGAGAGTACCTGCACACAGACAGCCGACACTTTATAAAGAGCACTTTTTATTCTCATTAAACAGCAGCAAATGTCTCTGGGACAATGGGAGGTCCAGAGTCGTCCCTGACGACAGATTGTCATGCTTCAGGGCTGGAGGGTCAAATCCCTAATTTTTTGTTTGGTAGACAACCCACTGAGCTACAGCCACAAACTAACATGTCTTCTGATATACAGTACTTTGCAAACATTTTAAATTAATACTTTATGTGGTAATGCAGACAGGTGGGCTAGTCTTCTGTCCTTAGCAACACCACCTGGTCACGGCTTCAGCCACGCCCCAGGGGTGACCATAGTCATATTCTTTATGGCACACTGTTGTAGCATTTCATTGTTGGGCTGTGGGGTCTTCTTGGCTTCAAAATCCAACTATTGGCCCTTTTCCAATAGTAATGGTACAGCCCAGTCCGACTCGACTCGGCACGGTTCTAAGGCTTTTCAACTAGTAACGGTTTGTGGAACCGGTCCCTTTTTTCAGTCCCTTTTTCTCTGAGGTTCCAACCGGGCCAAACTGGCACCAAAACGTGACAGAACACTGTCAGTCACTGATTGGTCAGGGGGTGGAGTCACTGGATGAGAAGTTTCACAACAAGATCCGCCATTTTCAATAACTTAAACTCGAGGAGCGACTGTACCAATTTTAAAGATTTTAAAAACAATAATGACAACACCGTGGTCTAATGCTGAAGTACAGGTGATGTTTGTGCTTGGGGGCCAACAACAAAATGCAAAGCGAGTTAGATGGAGCTCCGCCAGTCTCCCAGGTCCTCTCCACCAGAGCCTCGGAGCCGGGCAGGGCGTCATCTTCCCAGCTCCGAGCTCTGCTGGTCACCACTGTTACATATTTATCTAGACTGGTCCTGGGGTTTTTTGATCCACTCAGAGACGGGATTATAATGAAATTATAACCCGGTTCTGACTGGGTTAAACGGGGCCAGCAACTCTAAAAAGAGTCTCCCAGGGATTCAATATCCGTCAAGGGATAGAGTTTATTTTTGCTTGCTACATCAAGTAGAAAGGATTTTGAAGCACCGTCTCATTTTTCCTTACACGTCAAACCAAGTAAGATCCGTTGAGATCACACCTAGTCACGCACCTCATACATGTGACAGGTTGTGCTCCGCTTCTGCGAAGGAGGAGTCTAGGCCCTATAAATCAGTAATGACACGAGACATCTGCCCTTCCGGTTTGTGATCGCGTCATAGACTGGACCGGCCAGTGCTATAAACTGTTTTGGATTTCCATAAGAGGAATATATACCAGCAAGACTTTAAAAAAGATAGAAACAGCAATTCCCGAGTTATGCCTGACCCAAATTGTGGCCGGCCTATATGTATATGTATAACGTCTGTTTATGTTACTTTGCTGTGGTAGGTTTTTTTGATGCCTCAAATCGTGCCCTGTCTAGGACACGGCGTGAAAGATCTTTTTTTTATACCATCTCTCCTCATGTTTTCTTCCCTTTTCTCATCTAAGCAAAATATTATTCTGAATAAGAATAGGAAGGCCGCGCTATTTAATAGCCGCAGCTTCGTGCACTCCACCCATCTTTTGGACGACTGTACGTACATATTCTCGTTGTATCTCGGTGCAATGCCAATAAAGTTTATTCTGATTCTGAATTGGTAAAACTGAATTCACATTTCCTTGATTTATTAATTAGTGTGAGTTGCCACTTCTGAAGGAGGTTCAAGCCGGGGGGAAACGATGTGGGCTGGAGGCGGTCCTGGGTTCGAGAGAAGGCCTAAGTCCCCGGCTAGCAACAGCTAGCTGCAATGAATCGTGACCCACAGCCAGCTCCCACTCTAACAGCTTGGTGCCTGAATCGCTGGTTTCCCGTCTTTAGAAGTGGTAGCTCGTTTCTTATAGTTTAATGGTGACACAACGGCAGGTGACCGAGTCTGAGCAGACTGTGTGAGCCGGCTATTATCATCTCATGAGGTAAGCGGAAGACCTGTTATATCAAATTTCTGCATGTCCCTTAAGGACTGACAGGCTGCTCTGATTTCGGTCCTGTGCTCGCAGTTTAGTGAACTAAAAGGCAGTAGAACGTTACAGTATAATAAGTGAGTTCATGAACATATTTATCGGGCATAAAAGTTTATATACGTGGCGTTTTTTTGCCTGGTCGTGCTGGGGAGCGGGCCGGAAACGTTGACAACTTGCTAACCGGAAGTGGTCCGAGAGCGTTATAAACACACAAAACGCTATTTTTTCCCTAAAAATAAAAATTGGCCGGTTGATTTAAAGCCCGTGCATAATTTTTTTGTTTGATTATTGCCAAAATTTTAAGAACGGCATTGCTGATTTTTACCCTCACGTGAAAATTGTTGTGTCACTGTTTGAGATACCTGCGGATGAATAATGTAAGGTTCTCCTGTGGAACCTGTAGTGAACTAAGCCTCAGGTCAAAATCTGGCCCTGAGGGCCTTCCTGGGACAAGAACTGTTACTTCATTGATTTGAGTCCAGAAACACAAAATTAAGTTCATCCAGAGACTTTCTAAGTGTGTCCTGCACTGATCAATTGAAAGAACACTCTCTTTTTTATTATCATTACTATTTTACAATATCTTGATAATCAAAAGTGTGTTTAGTTCAAACCATTTTAAATGTTGAAGTGAACTACTAATTTTAAATCAACTGTGAAACAGTATAAATGATTTTTAATCCTCATTCAAAGTAGAAATCAAGTTAATGTTTGTTACAAGAGTAATTATGCATTTTGATTTTCTGTCTGAAATGAGCAAGTTGTAAGTCGGTCAAAAGTCAAGTTTCGGACAAAAACATGTTTACTGGAAAGAAATGTCATGTTTATATTTTTCAGACAGATAGGAAGAGACTGGCTCCAAAAAGTCTCATTTCTTCAAAACATCTTTCTGTCTGTTCTTGAAACATCTCTCTATCTGTTCCTAAACATTAAATTGTTTTTCTGACTTCTAGTGACCTCTTACGTCACTAAAACCACACCCCTGATTGGTTCTATCAGCCAATCAGGAAGTTCTCAGAGGAACCGGAAGTGACCTCTTTAAAAGGGTCAACACTTCCTAGTTCCAAGCAGAATGCAGTTCGGAACGCAGAACGCAGAACAAAGTTCCGAGTCTCGTGGGGATTATGGAATCTTCCACATCTGAGTGGAACCTCTGACGGGCTCACAGCTCATGCGAGCCCACCCGAGAGGTGAGCTGCTTTTGAACGAAGTACCGTCACTACTCCGGACGGTTCTCTGCTATCCTTACGGAGACGCTGAAAGGTGGCTTGAAGTGGAACTTTACGCCAGAACTGACATATCTTCAGAAAGGTAAAAAGTCGATCTTCAACTGCGAAGTGTACCATGGGTTAAGCTGGGTTCGGCTGGAGGGTGCCGTTCTTCGTCGACACATTTTCCCTCACACATCTTTTCTCTCCATTTAAACTCCCTCATTTCCCATCTTTAAAACTCTTCTATCTGCCAGTAATTAATCCAGATATTTTCAGAAATGTCTGTTGCAAAGCTCAAAGAGAAACCATGGCCGTATGGTTTCTCAATGTAAAGCTAATTAATTAAGCTGTTGTTGAAATCAATCTGCCAATTAATGTAAATGTGTGATGTTGTTTTAAATCGTTTTAATAAACGACCCACTGTTGTTGGTGAGTCAGAAATTAAAACACGTTTCCGTCCACATTTAATCATTCAATGCACGATAGTACTCAGTCCAGAAAAATGAAAGAATCCGTTTAAATTATGAATTTTATCTGACAGATATATGTTCATTACATACCCAGCAACCTTAGTGATACCTGCAGAAGACTATAAGGGTATTATAGTGGATTAATGGGGTGTGACACTTCAATCTTTGCGTGAACGAATAGGCTTACGGATATCCGGGTGTTTATGCCCGTCGTGTTTTCCTAAACATGTTAAAAATTGTACGTCCAGATAGCGTTGACAGGTAAATAGTAAATGGACTGTACTTATATAACTCCTTTCTATCTTATTTAGATACTCAAAGCACTTTACACTACAATCTGTGTTCTCATTTACCCATTCATACAGCACTCTACTAGATCTCTACAAAGAGAATTGAACAAATCATTCTAAAGAGACTAATCAGCGTCTTATAATCTAGCAGATTTTGTTACTTTTTTTAAGCCATCTTATTTGTAAAAAAAAAAAATCTGTATTGCCTTTTGATAACTGTCTATTGTTGTCGCTGTTGTCCATTGTTTTCATCATTCTTTGTTGAAATCAGGTCGCTCTTGTAAACGAGTCCTCGAGGCTCAACGGGATTTATCTGTCTAAATAAAGGTGTCACGAATTGGGGTGGATCGGACACGCGCAGACTCAGAAAAAGGTTTTTAAAATGTTTAAAAGTTTATTTTTAAAAACCAGCGGCGTCTGGCAGGAGGTTCTGGTTCTGGTACTGGTACCGGACCGCTCTGGGGGAGACAGACAGATTAGTGGCTGTAAGCAGAACAGAGTAAACAAGAATAAAGTCACTAACCTGTCTCTGGAACCAGTCCGAGATGTGGGCCAGGTGGGTCCCGGTACCGGTCCGAACCTCAGGAACCGGTAACATGCGCAAGGGCGCACAGAGCAGCAGAGCAGCAGCGCGCAGCGTGAGCAAGAACAAGCAGTGAGGCTAGATGGGCGAGCTGTGACGCTGAGGGGTTTGGGCAGCAGAACTTTATCCAGGGACAGGCAAGGGTCAAAACCAGAGAAGAATCCAGTCCGGGGGGGGGCGGGGGGCGCAAAAGCGAGAGCGAAAGGTCGTGGGTGAAGCTATGGTCGAGAACTATGATACGAAGAGGGAACTTTCCGGTGGATATCTATGGAAAGAATCTATAATTATCTGGCACCGACTGAGGGAAACAGGGAGCTTAAATAGTGGACTGAACAGGCGTTACTTGTGACTGTAGATTGCGGTAGATGGTGGAGGGGGCGTGACGCAGGGTGACAGGAGCTGAATGAATGAGAGGGGAACTCAAAAC